CACAGTATAAAAAGATGCAGCTACAACAACTAAATACAATTTAATCTAACATTGAAAACTGTACAAAAATGGTATCAAAATAAGTATTAGAGCATAAGGGTTTGGTTTTTCAGAGAAAGAAGGTGATATTTCAAAAAAGACTATAGAACTATCCAGTGCATGCAATATTATAAAGACATGGAAACAAATTAATGGAACTTAACTGCCTTTCCCCAATGGGTAAATTACAAATTACATTTTTGTCAAAAATATACAGAAAATATGGGAGAGAACACTCAGGGAAGGAAAAATTTACCAAGATGACACTTCAGTTCTTAACCTTTGTGCCTCAAACACAAGGGCACCCATTTTTGGAAAAGCATTATGACTACAGCTCAAATGCCATATTTACCCTCATACACTAATAGTGTGTGCCTTCGTTACCCCACAATCACCAACCGACAGGTGAGACAGACAAAACTAAACAGAAATATACTGGACTTAATAGATGTTATAAATCATATGAACCTAACAGATATTTACAGAATATTTTACCCAAACACAAAAGAATACATCTTCTTGTCAGCACCCCATTGAATTTTCTACAAAGATGACCATGTATTCAGACACAGAGCAAGTGTCAACAGATATAAGAAAATTGAAATTACTCCCTGCATCCTAACAGACCACCACATATTGAGTCTGGTTATCCACAACAGCAGAAGCAACAGAAAGCTTGAAAACTCATGGAAACTGAACAGCTCTCTATTGAATGAAAAATGGGCCAAGAGAGATGTAAACGAAGAAACTCCAGAAGCTTGCTAGACAGGTAGTCTAGCCTTTGTGGTTAAGTACTAGGCCAAGGACAGATTCTGTCTCAAACTAAAGGTAAAAGACATGTGGAGAATGACAAGGGAGGTTTTAATATGATATTCATATGCACATAGGTACCCATAATCTTGTGCAATCTCATGCCCAAGTGCACACAACAACATGCACACATATGTGCATGCACACACACAAATAAAAATGAAATACAAATACAACTTCAAAGTTTAATGATTGATTCCAAAAAGTAAACATAAACAAGTGATTTTTTAAATTAATCAAAATATTCTCCATTACTTCCTAATAGGATTTCTTAGTCATTTGAAATGCTTTCAATTGATTTGCCTTTCAAAGAAGAGAACGTGATGTAAATTGTCTCCCACATTCCCCTACCCCAGAGAAGTAGTTTTGACTTGCCCCTGGTGTCTTCCGACTCCTAATTCTGTCAGCTGAGATGTTCAACTTGTTCTGTGCAAGCATTCTACTTTGTTCTAAATACTTAGATGCCTTTGAAGTTTTCCAGGGTTCTTTCTTCAGAACGCTTTGGTGACTAGGGTAAGAAACAAGTGCACAAAGCGCACAACTTATTATTCTTCACAAACTTAATGGTAATGCATTTTATCAGAAAGAAAATCAAACTCCTGGGCTGGAGAGATGGCTCAGCCATTAAACAGTAGGCTCACAACCAAAAATATAAGAAAATCAAACTCCTTAAAGTCTAAAGAAGAATTTATTACCTTATGTAAATCAACATTAAGGAGTGGCCCAAACAATGCCTATAGAGTGTACATTTCCTCTTTTTCTCTGCTATTATTATGTCACTCTTTTTTTTTTAGAATGTGGTGACCTTTGATGACTATAGGATTTTTCTTTCTGCTGAGAAGATATATGCAGCAGAATAACCCACTTGACTCAGGATAATAAACTTCCAGTAAAGATCACTTGCGTGTGCGTGCGTGCGTGCGTGCGTGCGTGCGTGTGTGTGTGTGTGTGTGTGTGTGTGTGTGTGTGTGTATGTGTGTGTGCATTTTTTCAATTTGACACAAACCAGAGTTATTTGGGAAGAGGTGCCTCAAATCTGTAGGCAAGTGTGGAGGGTACTTTCTTGACTAATAAATGATATGGACAGGCTGAGTAGGTTGAGCTCATAAGGGGCAGTGCTTCTGGGCAGGACGTCCTGACAGTAGGAAGAAGCCAGGTGATGAAACCAAAAGGGACAAGCCAGTGTGAAGCATTCCTCCATGGCTTCTGCTTCAGTTCTTGCCCCAACTTGACTGGCTGCCCTGATTTTCCATCATGATGGACTGTGATTCAGACAGCTAGGCAAAATAAATCCTTTCTTTCCCAACATTTTGGTCGTGGCTTCTATCATATTAATACAAATCTAACTAAAACACCTGCCTTTAAAAATTCATCTCAGAAAAAGTCTCACTAGTTCAAGCTAGACCAGGTACTCACCTTTCTCTGCTTCCGTATTCATTATGGAAAGTTGTTGGGTACTCCTATAACATTTGCACAACTATAATCTCTCATTGTTCTAAAGCATTAAAGACAAGTCTTCCTATCCTCCATATTTATATGAATAAAAGTTTATTCTGGTGCCAGTGTCAGTGTCTACTCTGGTGCCAGTGCGGGTGTCTAGATAACTTAACAATTTTGGTATTCCCTTTAAACCAAAAGTCAAACCCTGAAAACATGTAGCCAAATCTTACACAGAGACACATTTGAAACTAAGTGTCAGTTGCTGTTACTTGTTTTCTTACTGTTATAGTTCCTTTAGTAACTAAATGGGGGGAAATATGTTGGAGTTGTTATAAATCAAAAGTAGAAAAAATGGAGATGAGAATTGCATCTTGTTTCAAGACATACTTTCTTATACAAGATAGCTTTACTCATATTACTCACTATGTCCCTGTAAAGGGGATTTTTTTAAATATTATTTTTGAGATATTGTGATTATGTAATTTCCCTCTTCTCTTTCCTCATTCAAACCCCTTCCATATATCATTCCTTGCTCTATTTCAAATCCATGCCTTCTTTTCCATTAATTGTTGTTGCATATATCACATAAATGTTGATATAATTAATATATGTACATATGCATGCATATATATTCCAAGATACATAGCTACCAAATGACCAGCCCTGAAAATGCACATACATATAAATGTTATTTTATAGCTCCTTATCACCAAATACATCAAATCTCTGTTCACTACTGTTAAACCAACACTTTTCAGTCAGCTCAAATTAACTGAAACCACAGACAATGTGTTTTGCTGCTCTGAAAGCTCTATGTCAGAGCATAGCAGAGATCTAATTTGAAACTTTGCTCTTTTTTTTTTCTAAACATGGGGAAATTTGTTAAATTATAGTCCTCCTATAACCCTGAAAAACTGAAGTAATCACGGCAAAAAGTTTGACAATATCCAAAATTTGGAGCTGGAAAAATTAGTTTAGGGACTTTACTACACATTTCATCACAAAACTAAAAGAGTTTAAGGAGGTCCATAAAACTAAAGCTTTGATGTCCCCCCATATGCAATATTTTAACTTAGACATTTTAAAGGGAATTCATAAACAAATGACCATAAAGATATCACATGAAATGAGGTCTTGAAAACTCAGATTTGTTGAGAAGACACTCCAAATTCACAAGGGATAAAAAACAAATATGAAACTTTAGTACCCTGAATGATGAGAAACATAAGTTACAGGTTAAATTTCATGTTTCCAGTTCTCTTAACAACAATGCATTTATGTAGTGTCTAATTGAGACAGAGGAAGTCAGAAAGAGAGGGGAATAACCAGAAGAGCATGTTATAAGTATTGTCTTTGAGATTGTTTTCAAAAGCTTTTGAAACTGGGTGTGTAAGTTAAAGCTGCTTTTAGCACTTCCTCGAAAGATCACCTTAGATTTTCCTAAACTTGGCAGCTTTATAAAGGTCATATTTTCATATGGATGCACTCTTCCTGAACAGAATGCAGTTGACAGAAACAAGATTTTCTTTTATTCCAGGCATTTGTGTTTCAGCTTTCCATAACAAAGAGCAAGACAAAACTTACTATTCTGGATTATCTCCCAATAATTCCCATTTGGCTAGGAAAACACATTTTTCCTCCTTTTATGGATTGGAGAAGTGCTTTTTAATGCTATAATAGAATGCAACAATTTTTCCAATTTTTTTTAAATTTAAAAAGTTTTCTTTACATAAGCTATTCAAGATTTCTCCAGCACTGACTGATACAAAGCACAATGAGATGGCACTTTAGAGACAGCAGCTTCAGGAAAGGGCGATGAGATGACTTCCATGTGGCTAAACCAGTGGCACAAACAATTTTCCTTTCCTTTCTCCTGGGGGTGTGTGGGGGGTGTGGGGAGGGCGACAATAAGTGGTCACTTCCATGCTAAGGGGCAACATGGTCCACTGTGTGAGCAGTTAGGAAAGGGGTAGAAATGAGACAAGCTTGGTCTCAGGGCTGGGCCACACAGTAACACGCTTGCCTAACATGCACATGGCCCTGGGAGGTGGGGGTGTCTCAGACGGCTCACCGTCTTATTTGGTCACATCTGATGGAAAAAGAAAAAAATAAAAAAGGTTAAAGTTATTCAAAGATATCAAAGCTGAAAACCTTCACAGCCCGGCAGAGTATTTTGTTTTTGGCTAACTTCCTAGAATCCGTTGTTTGGCTAGGACTTGGTGAGGAGAACTGAGGTTTCCCACAGGGGAGCCTGCCTGGGCTCTGCTGGCTGTCAGCGAGGCAGGCCCAGTCCTGTGTTCCTCTATGGAGAGAGCAGTGTCCTTAGGCTGAAATGTCACCTTTCAGCAGTGACTAGGAAGTGGGTTGCTGCTCCAAGCTGTGGAAGTGCTTGGGATGTTACAAATGGTTGCTAAGACAGAAAGTAATCACAATGTACATATCACAAGTGTGCTGAAGACACTGCATTGTGCTCACATTCCCTTAAATATTGTTCCCAAACGTGCTCAGCCCCTCCAGCTGGAAACTCTGGGAAGAGGCTGACACAGTTTTATGAAAAAGACGTGAGGGGGTAGAGGGGGTGGCAGGAGGGGAAAGCAGCCTTCAGTTAAAAAGATCAGCCCTCAGTTTCAAGGTCAGCTTCAGGCAGGCTGGCTGTAGGCAGAGTCAGGGTCAGAGGGAGGAGCTGCTGCAGAGCAGGGACTGGGGATGCTCTACATGTCGTTCAGGACCAGCAGGGTCTGGTCCAGAATCCTTTGTGTACAGAGATGCTCCTCTTTGGTGCATTTCAGCTTATCTTCCAACTCATTGATGGTCTTTTCCAGTTTGGCTACGGATCTTTCAGCAAACTCGGCACGAGTCTCTGCCTCCTTGAGTTTGTCAGTGAGAATCTTTACTTCCTCTTCATACTTGTCTTCTTTTTGAGAATACTTTTCTTCAGCAGCACTCAGACACTTCTGGTCCATCAGTCTGATCTGCTCATCCATCTCTCGGCAACGGGACTCTGCCAGCTCGGCTCGTTCCTCCGTGCGTTCCAAGTCTCCTTCAATAATCACCAACTTACGAGCCACCTATAAGAAACGACCTTGGTAGAGCTCAAGCAAGCATCGGGAATACCCTTTCAAGACTGTCTTTGCAGAGCCAGTGTGTCACTGCAGAGGTGACTCACCTCTTCATACTTCCTATCTGCCTCTTCTGCAATGTGCTTGGCTTCCTTTAGCTGGAATTCCTGGAGTTCCAGCCTTTCCTCATTTTTTTTTAGAGCTCGGTTTTCTTCTTCAACCAGCTGGATCCTATGGTTCAAGGAGGCCACCTCAGTTTCGGCCTGCTCCCGGGCCAGCCTTTCTCCCTCCACTTCCCGCTGGAGGCGCTCGGCCCTCTCCTTGGCATCATCCGCCTGCTGCTGCAGAACCTGGATCTTGCGCTTCACCGCCTCGATGGTGGTGATCCCGGCCGTGGTGCCCACCCAGCTGCTTCTGGAATTCTGTTCCTACCTCCTCCGCTCGGCGTTGTAGCCGCTTCTCCCAATTTTTCCAATTTTAATTGTGTCAATTTTTTTCCCATCAAGTCTATTTCCTCATAACTTGAATTATCAAGGAAGATGTTCTAATGACTAATATTTTATGCAATTTAAGATATATAGAATAGTGAAGGATAAAAGCCCAGAGGAAAAAGATAGATCGTAGTGTTATATTATTTTGGATTTATCAAAGCTTGTCTAAGGATTCAGAAAGCAAATTCAGCCACAAGCCCTAGAATCCAGGCACACACCTTTAATCCCAGTAGCCAGGAACTAGGACTCAGGATTAAGAGGCAGAGGGACCTCTCTGAGTTCAAGGTCACCCAGGGATACACAAGAATACACCAGTCTAAAAGATTAACAGATCACACGCCTCTAATCTAAGAACTAGAAGGATATAAAAGAAAGAAGCAGGGCCTTCAGTATTCAGTATCAGGCATTCATTCTCCAGCCACACTGAGGAGAGGCAGCCGTTTGAGACTTGGTGAAGAGCTCATGCGTGGATCAGCCCTTTTGCCCGAGCTCGAGGTAAGAGCTAGTGGCCAACTACTTTGCTTCCCTGATCTTCAGGTTGAACTCCAATATCTGACTCTGGGTTCATTTATTTTTCATTTTACAGTAGACAGGACAATTTAAGTTAAGAAAAACTGACTAGAAACAAGCCAAGCTAAGGCCAGCCATTTATAAGTAATAATAAGCCTCCATGTGTGATTTATTTGGGAGCTGGGTGATGGGCCCTCCAAAAGAGCAAAGAGCAAAAGAGTAAAAAAATACCTACAATCTAGACTATGCACTAGAATACAATATAAACTTTATTCCAGTGGTTCCAAGGATAATGCACCACACAGATATTATTCCAAATTTTCCACAGAAATCAAATCATCTACTGAAAACTTGAGCACAGAAAGAATGACTGTTCCATTCTTCATTTTGACAGAGTCATTTAGAAGAAAGTTAGCAAGAAGACCTGCTTTAGAATGACCATGTTACCATTAGGAAGAAAAATGTGCTTTTTCGGTTACAAATTTGGTTTATTAAATATCTCAGAATATGTCATAAAAATACATGGAGTTTTCCATGAACATAACTGGAAAACAGAAATTATTTTTTTATTTTTTATTAGTTCTAATTAGAAACAAGCTTGCTCCACATGGCAACCCCTTCTCCCTCTCCCTCGTCTCCCCCCA